TCTCCTGATCTCCACTATGTGTCGTCGCAGACATACACACAGACTCCGGCATGAGGTAAAAACCTGTACTTTTTTACCCGTGGTAATAGAGGTACGCTGCATTATCGGACATCCTGATCTGCGTCTCGATGAGGAACTGCAGATGCGATTTGTCGTTTTAAAGTGATGGACTGAATCGAGAATAAACAGCAATTCAGTATGCGTTATTATTATTATGACGGTTTAATTGCACTACTTAATGTTCGTTGAGACAGTTACTACTTACACTTACCACTCCAACTCAAAACCAAGATAAATCAGCGAAGCATGGAACAGCGTAGCAACTACAAACAAGCCCTCAATACTTCGCTCCTCTCCCACTACGGTTGGTCACCGCGGGCGAGTACGACCAAAACCTTCCAATGACACTTCCTAAAACAAAGAAAAGAAATTTGAATTTGAATATACATATGTACTTTCAACGCTAGAACATTGTGGCCAGCACAAAAACTCATTGAACTAAAAACTGAGCTACAAGACATTAATCACGACATAAGAATTAGGAGTCTTCGAAGTTCGTCGATTAGGACAGAATATAATCGAGGACGAACACTAGATTATTTACCATTTAGGCCAAACTAAAGGCTACACGGCTTGGGCTTCCTAGTTAAGAAGAAATACAAAGAAAAAATAATGAAATTCACCGTTATATCAGAGAGAGTTTGCAAATTAGAAATAAAGCTTGAAAATATACATTTTGCTATTGTTGAAAAATCTTCATACGAAGAAATTGAGAATTTCTACGACTCTGTCTATACCAACTACATAATCTGCATGGGAAACTGTAATGCGCAGATGGGAAAATCCAAAAAACATGAACAAGACTCCATTCAGTACGCTTTAGAGTACAATTTGAAAATAGTAGGACAAAGACACAAATCGATAGACATGTACTTCTCCAGACAATATTACGAGAAATGAATCTATATTTTGACTACTAAACCACTTTTATTTTCTAAATACGAAGTACTGAACGCATTCTCCTTTGGTTCAGACTACACTCCTGAGAGCTACAATCAATATGAAAGTGATAAAAAAGAGCCCACGAAACTGTTCCGACATATTTATTTATTTATTTACTTATTCATTCATTCACTCATTCATTTGTTCATTCGTCCGTTCATTCATTTATTTATGGACAACCAACAGCTTCTTACATTTAATAAATAATATTTACCAAAAAAGATTAAAACGATAGAAGAACATTTAAATAACTAATAACTTCACACGAAAAGCATACTGCTAATGAATATTGCAACAAGATAATGAAAGTGAAGAGTTCAAAAAATATATTAAGACAAAAGAGAAGCAGAATTTTATCGGAAAAAGCTCTACAGTTCATGGAAAAAAGGACTAAACTACAAAATAAAGGAAACCTGAATAAAAGCGAGAAAGACGAACTGAAAGAACTATACAAACAAAGAATTAAGAAAATCCTACGAAACACACAGAATCAATATTATACAAAGGCATTTAGAAAAATCTAGGTCTACAAAGACGGCACATAAAGAACTAGATAGATTCAAGAAATGGATACCATCACTTTGTCCTGACTCTACATAGAGATAATCCAGCAAGGAAATCGTAGATACTGCTACGAACTTCTATACAGAGCTGTACAGCAAACCGAACTTAACACAAAGAAAGGATGTTGTTCACATAAACAAACTCACAGAACCAGAAATCCTGAAACAACTCATGACACTGAAACCTAAAAAAAGTGCAGGACCGGATAGGATTACTAACGAATGGTAACCTATCACAAATTCGAATTTGTTTTTTCCGAAATAACGTTTGTTCGAATTTTCATTACATCGAAAACTTAATTATAACGAAACCGTTGTTCTTTCAGGATATGTTGGATGTTTATTGCAAAGACACGATTAGGTTCGGTTAGATTAAGTTAAGTTAGGTGTAAAAGAAAAAACATTTTCCTCTCAAAATTACTTTCGAAGTTATGAAAATTCGAGCAAAGGTTATTTCTGAAAAATATCATTTTGGTCTACTGATAGGTAACCCTAACGAATGCATCAAGTACGCAAGAATTTTACTATTGATGCCAATCATGCAACTGCGGAACCAAGATATTAGAAGAGGAAGGAGTACCATACATTCGGACTGAATCTAAAATTATCTTGTTGTATAGAAAGAGAGATCCCGCCAGCGCGGAGAATAAGTCTCATGCCTTCGTTGTACAAACTGTTTTCTTCCTAAATGATTATCACTAGTATCAGGTTTCTTACCACGGTATGACTTCTTTTTATTTTTGTTTTTATTTTCTTTTTGTTTTCTTCCTGTTTACTCGAGAGAATATTCGCGGCGATCGGCGAACAACAACCGATCGAACAAACGGGCTCAGGGGCGGTTTCAGCACTGTTGATCACATTCAAGTAGTTGAGCAAGTCATAGAAACCTGCTTGGAATTGCGTTAACCCATCAATTCCGTCAAATATGTTGCTTTTATCGACTACAAGAAATCTTTTGGCTCTGTGTCACACGAAAGCATATGGGAAGCTCTACAGGAAATAAATATACACGAAAAGTACATAAATATTTAAAGAAATATCTATACAAATAGTACAAGTAGAAAAAATTCACAAACGCAAAGGCGTGAGACGAGGTGATCCTCTCTTCAAAACTAGCAGCACTGTAGCAGTGATACAGCAGAATGCAAAAGTTACCTTGGTCGAAACAAGTAATCAACATGAGCGGAAAGTATTCAAAGCACTTGCGGTTCGCTGGCGACTTCATTCTGTTCGCGGAGAGTCCGCAGCAATTAAACACTATGATAAAACATCTACACTGTGCCAGCATAGCGGTGGGGCTTGAAATGAATCTGAATAAAACAAAAGTTATGACTCATTGCAGCGAGATGCCCATCATGATAGATAGCCCTCCTCTCGAATACGGCGAAAAGTACATCTACTTAGGCAAACAGATATCGTTTCGTAAAGAAAGAAATACGGAAGGAATAGAAAGAAGAATAGCTATAAGGTAGACAAAAATATTGGGCTCACAAGGAAATATCTAAATCACAGCACCCACTATCAACAAAAACAATTATTACGTACTCAGAATTTTTTCCATGTCTCACCTACGGCTGGCAAATATGACCTCAAAACATAGAACAAAATATAAAGCACGCAAAGAAAAATGGAGAGAAGTTGCTTAGGCATAAAGCTGAAATACAGATGGAACGTTGATATCCACCACAAAACAGTGGTAATTGATGCGTTATCATTCGCTCTAAAGACTTAAGTGGAAGTGAACACGTCACATGGCCAGATACCGAGATAAAAGGTGGACAACAACTAGTGTCAAGTGGTCCACGAGAGTCGCGAGTGAGCGGTCGGCCGTGCGTCAGATCGTCAGATACGCCGACGAACTGGTGAAGACCAGTCAGAAAGGAATGTTCGTTAAACACTAATTAATTGCCTACTTGCATTTGCACACAAGTAAACAAATGGCCGCGACAAGAAGGACGCAAAGTAAGCGGAACTAAAATGTGCGGTTGTAAACCGTGCACTTATCATTAATTCACTTACAATAAATTAAAGTTAATTTAACTTTTATTACAATATTATAATTATAATTTGAATTAAATTAAGTTCTGTTTATTACGTGTCACAATTCTTATCTTATAAGAAATATGTATGTTGGAATTTAAATAAAACTTTGTTATTATTATTATTATTTATCTATTTTGGACTCTCGCCTCTCCCAAGGCTTAAAAGATTTATTATTATTATTATTCTTTATTTTCGTTAGCCTTTTTTGGTAGCTGGTTCGAAACACACTTGCGGACCGAAATCAAGCAAATGCAGCATGTCTATGTGGACGGTGGTGGTGGTGGTGCGTAACAAAAGCTTACTTCGTCCCATTTCATCTGCAAGAACCTTCTGACTACTATATTATTATTATTTATCCATTTTAGACTGTATTATTATTATTATGTACTTTATTCTTCTCAGCTTGGTAGCTGGTATGAACCACATTTACGGATTATTATTATTATTATAACGGTTTAATTCATTTACCTAATGAAAGCACACGTTCGCCAAGTTTCGGTGCGAAAGTCTATTCGTCTTCACTCGAGTAGCCCTAAGCGTCTAACGAGGCAGAGACCTTTAGACAAATTACTAAAACCAATAAATAAAATCAGCCGATGTTTAAGTTCACTAGCTTTGCTGTTCGGACAATTGACTATCCAAGCTTACTATTCGCACATTAGGTAAGGTAAAATGAACTAATTTATGTAATTGTTCATATTAATTTCCTGACCATTCATAAATAGGTCTTTATTATTAGCCAGCTCGTCTTAATGGCCGACGCAGTTTTATATAAACTAGAATAATAAGAAAGGGCCTAACGTGCACTGAAGCTTCATTTAGGGTCAGGTAAAAAAACTAACACACTAAAGTACCGACCACAAAAGCAACTAACAGCCCAATATGCCAAGTGTTGTCTAATAACACAGTGTAATGAAATGTCGCAAAATTCTGGTCTGTTAGGCCCTCTATTTTTGCAAAACGTCTAACAGACCAAAAAGTCCTTAGATCGCCCTGAAACCTGAAAAAAATTCGCTGTTTTCAACTATGTAGGTGTATAAGTTAATTTGCCCGAAAATGGTCTGTTAGGCCTTTTGCTTTCCCAGTGTCGACTTAATAAAACCTTACGCTTACAATATACCCTTAGGTATTGTTATATGGTTGCTGTAATGCTGAACAAGGTTTGCAACAAGGAGATTTTGTAATCCATATTCCTGATTGTATACGCAGCGACCTTTGTCCGTGCTGTCGCTGCCTCCAGTGCGTTGGTTTGAATCCTGAAGAAAAGGCCAAAGAAAAGTCCAAAGAAAAATCCAAAGACAAACAAAAAGACAAACCTAAAGAAAAATCCAAAGAAAAATCCAAAGAAAAACCCAAAGAAAAATCCAAAGAAAAACCCAAAGAAAAACCCAAAGAAAAACCCAAAGAAAAACCCAAAGAAAAACCTAAACAAAAACCCCAAAAAAAATAGATTTAATTGCAACACACGCTGGCGACGGCGACGGCAACGGCGACGGCGTCGGCGTCGGCGTGGTGCCGGTGCAACTTCATTCGAGCAAATTGTATGGTCGAGAGGCACTGCGAGGCGTGAGTATGACTTATTCCATTTTGCATAAGCATGTGCAACTGAAACTTATTTAAATAAAACAACTGGTTTCTGGAGATACTCTTTTAATACTGGTGGATTTTTCAGGATTGCGCAGCGAGGCTTTAGAACTGCGTGAGCCACGATGAATGTGGCGCTTCTGACCGTAGAGTACACAGTCTGTGCTGACACCCGCTGTAGATGTTCAATAGAAACATACTAATCGTGCCGTTATACTGAAATAAAAGAAAAAAATATGAGACTACCAAACAATAAATATTTCTTTATGTAAGTAACGAGGAAGAAGGTCTTTAGATAATTTTGTTCTTTTCTTTGATAGCGTTGTCGTGCTAATAAATGAATTTGTACTTCGTAACAATTACTTAGGTTATCATAGCACACGAAATCGTTTACGCCGCGGCGGCAGGCCTACGTACGCATTCCCTGAGTCGCTGCACAAGGCGCTCATTGTTCAGTTGGTTCAGTAAGCTACTTATTCAATACAAACCCATTCAACTCAATTGAACTCAACTCAACTCAACTCAACTAAATTCAATTCAAATTAATGCAATGATAATTCTTAAACCGCCGCAACTTGTGAAACATAACAAAAGAATTATGTTGTGAGTTCTGTTGGAGGACTGTGATGTCAGTGAGCAACCTACTCGTAGGTGCGTAACTGTGACTGTGGGGACGGGTTATTACTTAATTATGCATTGTATTGTATTGGTTAATACATAAATACATAAGTTCACGCCCATGTCCCATAGCACAGGTAGGCAGAGACCACGAAACGCCAGTTTACTCTACGCTGACACAACTTTCGAGCCTCACATATATATCAACTACTCTGTAAAGATGAGTGTTTAAGCAGGAAAATGAAAATTCAGAAATTGGAGCTGTAAAAGCGAATGTAATTTATACCGAGCAATAAAGCTTAAAAATTAAAATCACCCTCAAAACTAGCGCCTGATGAGTTGTGCGAGCAATTACTTGCAATGTATATTGCAACGTTATTATTGAAAAGGCATTCTTCAGGTTTGCAAATAAAAACATGCATTCCTGATTTTCTAAATATAAACATCCCCGGGCGTTTAAATGCAATCTTTTAACCAGAATCTTCATTTAATGGCAGTGGGCATATTTTACTGAATGCATGTCAGATGGTTCCATTTGTAGTTTCGATTTCTGCCACACGACTAATTCCATCATGGCCTGGGTAGACAGCTGAGATTCGGCCTAATCGTCATTTCAGTGGCGGTAGATTGTTTTCTTTTATTATAACAAGGCGTATTACAACAGCATTTGAAGACCTCTATTTAATTCGCTGCTGTAGTTCGGAGATGTACTCTTTATTCACTCGACCAGAAGTGTTGATGTGGCGTCTCTATTCGTTCATATCGCTTCAAGTGAGTGACAAAACAGTTTCATAAGACGGCACAGGCAAGGATGTGAATGGACGTCCTATCAGGAAATGTCCAGGCGTCAGTGGCAGAAGGTCATTAGGATCAGACGACAATGGCGTGAGAGGGCGCGAGTTAAGAAGAGCTTCAATTTGAGCCAGTGATGTATATAGTTCCTCATATGTTAAATGACAATTTCCCACTCGTCTCTTTAAATGATATTTCACTGATTTGATAACTGCCTCCCAAAGACCACCGAAATATGGAGCATAAGGAGGAATAAAAATGAAGTTAACTCCTTCAGCGGCAATGTCACCAGATAACGAACTGCTATTTCCTTTTGCCTTCAAAAATTTACCGAGTTCATTGTAAGTGCCAACAAATGAGGTTCCGCTGTCAGAATATATACGCGTAGGTTTACCTCTACGACAAATAGGTTCCTTCGCGTTTGGATACCACTTTCCACTTAACATCAGGTGGAGTGGAGACATTTGCCTGTCATGTATAAAAAAAAAAGACGAAGTCCTGACAAATAGTTTTCACTGGTTAAGTCACCCACCGACTCAATGTGGACTGTTTCGTTGTAAAGTAAACAAAGAGTAAAATATAAACTTTTACAAGTCTGCAGCCACGACTTTGTCGAGACGCTGACATTATGGTTCCTGTGTAATCAACCCCAATACATGCGAAGGGATGACCACCCGAGGCCACTCGTTGTTCTGGTAAATTTCCCATATTGGGATTAATCGGTTTAGCTGTAATGCGACTACAAGCGATACGACGATGAAAACATGATTTAGCCAGGTTACAACCACCTGGAAGGCCAGTATGTATCCCTTATACATGCCAACTAATTTATTTTTGCCTAAAAACACGCTGAGTTTAGTTAGTGGACTTCCTTTCGGTAAGCATTGATTTTTAATTAACATTTCATTCTCAGGAAACAGGACTCTACTTGAGACAGTTTCACAATTAAGTTTAACGCGTTTTGCAATTCGTCCTCACTAAGATGTAAATTAATCGGTGGTTGTTTTTTACAAATATTTATAAATCATAACACGTATGCCACTGTACGTTTAAGTCGCGAGAGAGGTTTGAAAAAAGATTAAAGTCAATTAGAAGTATCGGAGTCTCAGAGGTATTTAATAAAGAAATCTCAGTTTTAGTTTCAGATTTAGCTCTACTGTGGTTGGACAGGTAGGCCACTATCTTGTATCGTGGTTCAAGAATATATAGCAGGGCTGAATACTTCGACCTTTCTTATTTCTGATTTATATTAATGATTTGCCATTCTTTGTTAAGGATCACTGCGAAATAGTGTTGTTTGCTAATGACACATCCTTGATTTTTAAAACAGACAGACTCGACATAAACTATGATCATATTAATGATACCCTCTCTAAGGTAGTTTATTGGTTTAATGCTAACAACTTATTGCTTAGTGCCAAGAAGACAAAATGTGTTAAATTTGAATTACCTAACGTAAAATTGACTAGTTCAAGCATAGAAATAAACGGAGAAAAGTATGGCCTTGTTAATAAAGCAGTCTTCTTGGGAGTGACCTTAGATAGTAAACTTCAAGTTTCCACATATATTTTCCCTGGCCAGCAGATTAAGCTCCGCTGCATACGCAGTCCGCAGAATACGTGAGCTTACCGATGTTAGTACTGCTAGACTAGTTTACTGTGGTTACTTCCATAGTATAATGTCCTACGGGATTCTCATGTCGGGTAAAGCGGCAGATATTCAAACCATATTTGTATTGCAAAAACGAGCGATTCGTTCTGTGTACCGTCTAGGCTCTCGGGTTTCTCTCAGAGAAAAGTTTAAGGAGACTGGTATCATGACTGTGGCATCACAGTAAATTTACTCAAATATTTTATATGCCCGTAAAAATATACATAATTTCAATAAGAAAGAAGATATCCATAATATTAACCTTAGAGCTAAGTCCAAAGTCATGGTACCACGATTTCGTTTAACCAAGGTAAACGACTCTTTTATGGGGAACTGTATACGTTTTTACATTAAAAACTACATTAAAAATATTTTGATCGAAAAATCATATTACAAAATTGAAGACTACGTGTTAGATAAAGATGTATAGAAAGACGACACGGCTCCAGAATCCACACAAATTTGATTCAAAGTGTATTCCATAGCATTTAAGTTTATTTAAAAAGAGCAATCCCTAGAGTTTCTTGCTCGTTCTTCTCAGGGAGGTCAGCGTAGTGAACGAGCAATAGCTTAAACGTGACGTTTTCAAGTGTAAATTTATTTTACCTATGGAATAAATAATCTTTGACTTTGACTTTGACTTAGAAATTAGGTCCGGACCACCATAAATTACACTTTTGAGTTTCACTTACTCCAATTTCCAGAGACACAAGGTCGGCGGGATTAAGATGTGTGGGAACATGTCTCCAGGTACAATTAGCGTTAGTTTTTTCGACTGTTTCTGCTACCCGATTACGTACAAAAGGTTGCAGCTTACTTGGCATCATTTTCAACCACCCCAGCTCTATTGTAGAATCGCTCCAAAATGTACTTACTTTGAATTAGTACGCCAAGTGAATCAATAACTTTTTCATACAGCTTCACTCCAACCAAGGCTGCACAAAGCTCGAGCCGAGGAATTGTAGTTAGCTTAATGGGAGCCACTCTGCTTTTTGCTGTAAGTAAACGCACCAAACCTTCGTTATTCTTATTAATACACCTTACATACTTACACGCATCACACAATAATTATATATATTAGTAATTCTACCACCTGCCAAGAGTTACATAGAACTAGGTGTGGGATGCGTAAACTATTCAAAATAAATAACCGTTCGACAATACCTTTCCATGTCTTAGCGACATCTAGCGGTAAATAGTCGCCTCATGATAAATTGTGCAACAAAGTTTTTGCATTATTACTTTGATTAGAGTGACACATGGAGTTAATAGACCTAGAGGGTCGAAAATTCGGGATGTTACTGACAGAACTTCTAGCTTTGTTACATTATTTGACTATGACATGTTACTTATTGAAAAACAGAGCACATCAGAATCTGTTAGCCAGTTAAGACCCAACGGTTTACTTGACTCATTTGAACCCATGTTTAAATTTACCGATGAACTTGTGACTTGGTCTGACAAAACCAACAAAAGCCAACTCAGTAGTGACCTTTCGGCGGATGTTAGTGACGTATGATATTATATCCCCGCCTGTGAGCAGATCGTCGACATATAAATCATGGAGTATAATGTCAGCAATCCTCTCATCCTTACAACCCAAACCAACTTGCTTTAAGCACAGAGTTGCTAAAAATGGTGCACTTGCGGCATTACATGTCAGTGTTTAGTTCATAGGTTTTGATAGGCTCTGAAGAATTCTCTCGCCATACTATTCTTTGTAAGTATCTATCGTCAGGGTGTACGATCACCTGCCTATACATTTTTTCTACATCTGCTGAGAGAACGTATTTATGTTGTGTGAATCAAAGAAGTATAGACAATAAGTCGTCTTGTACAACTGGGCCTACCATTTGTAAGTTGTTGGGTGAAATTTCCGAAGTTGTAAGACTGCTGGCAATTCGTGTAGATTAGTTAGAAATAGTGTTTTATTATATTGTATGTATGTTATTCCTTAAGATATATATTATATGAGTGCTTTATTGTATTGCTATGTATGTTAGTCTGTAAGGTATGTATTTATGGGTGTTTGTAACCTGAATACAAATAAATAAATAAATTAAATAGAAAAATTATACACAGCTCTTAATTTTGTTGTTATGCTGTCCTCACGTAGCACACCGTCATGTGGAATAAATATTAACAGTTGTTTTTAATTAATGTAACATTCAGACATGTGTCCATGAAATATACTCTTTCATAAAATCG